TAAAGTTTAGTACGTTGTTGTTGTTATATATTCTTGATCGATTTTACTACCTATCATTTTCTTTTACTATATAATAAATTTTTTTACTAAAAAACAATAAAAAAAGCAGTATAATACATAAATATTCATTGAATAAAAGAAAAACTCACGTATTGCTGCAACGTGTGCGAGTCCAATTGCTTGTTATAACTAATATATAATATATATAATTGGAGTGAATTGTACATAGTTCTACCAGTATGGATGAGGATGGAACTTTGGGTTAAGATAAATGTGGATACTATTTTAGATTTTCCTCAAGCATTTCGCTTATAATATTTATTATAATTAAAATTATATAAAATTTTGATAAATTTATATAATTTAAAATTATAATTATTGATGATATTTATAGGAAGATAACACAAATTAAAAGGTTATACTATTGTAGTTACGATGTGTCTTATCATAAATGGTACAATTATTGAATACGTGAAGTAATGAACTGATGTCATTCAATATGTCACTAAACAGATTCGTAGGTATCCGTCCCATTTCTAATAGTATAATATTTTTTTTTAGTTTTAAAGGGTAAGCCCTACAAACAAGAGTGAAGGGAAAAGATTGAGATTGAATCTCATTTGATGTTTTTTTATATTTTTTTAATATTAAATAAGAAATTGAATATAATAATATAATTTTATAGATAAAATGATAAAGTGATTGAAGTTTAAAATTTCTTTAATCCATGTATATTGGATTTTTTGAAGTTATTTGATAAAAAATATCAATAATTTAAACTTTCATACTTAATTCAAATTTAAAATATATTTCAAAATTAAATCAATATAAAATTCAAAATGATAAGTAACAATTTGGATCTTTTAGATTTTGTTTGCAAAAGTAATCATAAAAAATGAAGATGAATCTTGTGGGAAACATAAGTGTGCATATTAGAATAAAAATAAGCATAGAAACTTTGAATTTGATACTTTTGGGAGAAATAAACAACTATTATTAATTTTTATTGAAATATACATGCATGTGATTTTCACTTATAACAATTTACTAATTACAAAAATTATGATTGATGGTTTAGCGAGTGAAGTTCAAAAAAGCAAATAAAATATTATTGTATTATAATATATATTGACACTTATAAAATTATCACATGAATGTTTATGTGAACAATTTTTTTACATGATATATATAATTTTTTAAATATATATTTTAATTACAAATTGGATAATTTTAAATTTATCAAAATATTCAAATTATTCAAATTATAATTATAAAATAAATTAATCTAGAGATTTTTTTAAAAATTAAAATTTTGAAATATGGATTTTATCTCAATAATTTAAATTTCATTCATATAATCTTATTTCATAAATTATTTAATTATGAAAATCTTTCAACACATTTTAAAATTATAAAGATTAAATTTATCCTAATCTTTCTAAAACTCATTGATATTATTTTATCTTTAATTTGCATCAAACAAAAATTATCTTTAAAAAATTTAAGTAAAATATAAAAATTAAAATAGTCTTTTCATATTAAATCTTAAATAATAGACCTATATCTATCTCAACTTCAACTATCAATTTTATATTTAAAAATGCGTAAGAATTTAACTTTTATCACTTATTAAATCCTTTTAATTTTTTAAAATTATCAATTTAAAAATTATCTATTCAATCCTAAATGTCATCCAACAGTTATTCTACAATTAAAAACTATAAATATAATTATTATATCATTTTCTTTATTTTCAATTTGCAATTTTTTCAAATTGTTATTGCTATTATAATTTATTTTTTAGTTTGCATCTTTCTTTTTGCAAAGTATATTCTATTCCTATTGGATGTTGTTTTATAAAAATTAATATTTTTTAATTTATTTTTTCTTTTTTTACACATTTTCTAACATTTTTCATATTTGTAAAGTAATTTGAATAAGATTACAAAAGTGATAGTATGTCTATATTTTTTTATTATTTAATTTATCATTTGATAATATATACGTTTTTATTCTTTTGAGAAAAATATGTAATTTATTTTATTTGACATAAATTTTAGTTGTATAAATATTATTGCAAAATAAAAATGGTACAAAATGAAAACATATAATTTTTCTTCTTTTTTTAAAAAAAATTATTTTATGATAAATTAGTGTATAAAATCTATTATATGTTATAAACTTTAAATTTGAATATAATTTAAAAAATATTAATTTATTTTTACATACAAAAAATAAATAAAATTATTTCGTGTATCACACAAATCATAATCTAATAATATAATCATATGATTTTAATCATCTCCAAGTTTCACATGCAAAAAATAAGTTATTCTGAGAGAAAGAAACTAAATAGTACAGCTGTACTTGGGTTTATTGGGGAGAGGGAATTTAAAGTTATTTAACAAATAAATACTTGGCGTTTTCAAATTTTTTGGTTGGGCCATGGCCCCCTCTTGCTCTTGATATCATCTATCCCCTAATTAAAGTAAAAGATTTAAATTTTGAAATGATTAAAACTTAAAGTTATTTAAATTTAATATAATTAAAAAAAATTAATAATTCAAAATAATTTAAATTTTATTTGATTCGATTGTCACCTTTATTTATACCAGATCGATTTTAAAACCAACTCCAAATTTCACAAGCACAAGCACGAGCACGAGCACGAGCACGAGCACAATTCTGCTTCAGCTTTGGGTGGTAAATCCAAACAAAATTCGTTTCATTCTTTGCTTAGTAAACAAATAGAGTCAATCTCGTATTCATTGTGGCTGATTTCCAAGAGGTATTATTCCCATATAAATGGAGTTGGATCGCATACTTTGTGCAGGTAATGGCTAGTGATTGACGACATTCGCATTATAATAGACAGCTTAGATAACAGAGAAAAGCCGCATCAGCAGAGCATTTTCTTCGGATTTGCTTCATCAAGCTTCAGACCAGGTTAATTGAAAAAGACAAGTAGCATTTCGTTTTTCTCCCGCATCGCGTAAATTGAGTTTCTTCGATCTCGTTTGGTGATGCGGGGAGCTCCAATGCTGTTTGACTGTAGCTTCCAATCGTAGAATCCCAGTTTGGAGCCTCACGGGTTTAGTGAAGATCACTCCCCGTTTCCCAATCGCACTTTCCTTTCCATTATAGCTTTTTTGTTCATTTTTCTTGCTTGGCATGAAACAGGAAAAGTCCCGCTTTCTCTTTTTTTTTTTTTTTTCTTCATATTAATTTTTTAATTTTTATTTAAGTTTTAAAATTATTTAATCTTGTTAACCTTCCCATTTCTTTTATTTTTAATTTGTTAGAACTTTTCAAGTTTTTTGGTTTGAAGATTTTTAAGTTATTTATTATGTTATTCATTGTAAGATAATAAATAACTTAAAATCAATGCGAAACCAATGTAAGCTTGAGAAGGATTATTCAATAAAATAACTGAAAAACAATGAAACCCCAAAAAAGGTAAAAATTTTTGAAATTCCAAGAAAAAACAAAATGAGGGATTATAAATAGGGCTTCCTAGCCAAACAAGAAGCAAGATCAAAGTCTTCCAAAAAATACCCAATTGCCCAACTAACCCCACAATCAATGTACCATCTTACTCTCTTCCACTATAATCTCAAGCTTGTACTCAATTTGGTAGCTGGCCAAGAGCATCACTAACCTTAAATACAACCTTATTTATTTATTTATTTTCAGTTTGAAAACCTGGAGGTAGCAAGCAGTGCAGCTGCTGCCTCCATGCAGTGCACCTTCATCAACTTATAGCATACATTCAGAAAACAATTCACATTCCCCTATCTTTATTAACAGATTTCCAGAGTAGCACCAGATTTGGGATTTGACATTTCAAATAAAAAATACTTAAACATAAGAAAAACAATTAAAACGAAAACATAAGAAAATTCCACTACCCTTATAAGCCCATCACCTTATAAGCGCAACTTCAAATTTGATATACTTTTAAAAATTACAAGGAATGTTTCCTTATTTCAATAAAAACGCAGGCAGCGGGAACAATGCAAACTTAATATACCTTTTTTTTTTCTTATTAACAAATTATCTCACTCACCTTTTTAACAGGTGATCGCAGGTGACTTAGGTAATAATTGTACTCGTAAATCTAAAAAGAAAAGTTTAGAAGAAGATCCCCTTCAACTTTGTGAAGTCTCCATCGATGAACGCAAGTGGAGCATTTATAAAGTTGCCTTATCCACTACGTGAAATAAATGAAAGAGCCTATGAACCAAATGTAATTTCAATTTGGTCCCTATCCACCATTGGTAAGGACGCTTGAAGTCAATGGAAGTTATCAAAAGGGATTGCTTCAGTAGGATGATTAAGCAGCGTGAGGATGAAGCCAAAAAGTTTGTATCAGTCATGAAAGACATGGAAAAAAAGTTCGCGAATTCTATGAACAACCCTTTAGAATGCATGACTCTGACACATTGTAGGGATGCATGGTGCTTGATGTGATGCTTTATTGTTCTGCTATTTCAAATGAATAATTATCTAGTTAATAGTCTTGGGTAAACTGAAGAAGGGGACTCTCAGGGAGATATTTTATGATTTGTTACTACTCGAAAATCAGCTTCCTTTCTTTGTGCTTTTAAAGCTGTATGACATGATCAAGATGTCAAATGTTGAATTTCCTAAATTGTTTTTTTTCCACTATTCAAAAGGACTTGTTACCAAGGACCAGATATAAGTCTTCTGAAAGTTTCCGAAACCCCGAAAGTATAAGCATCTACTAGGCTTCGTACATAGTTGTTGTCTTCCTTCAGAAGCAGAAGTAGGACCAGAAGTAAAAGCAAAAGAACCGATAGCCCAGTGCTTTCGGAACTTTATGTGCTGTGGAAGAGAGCAGAAGGAAGAAGGAAGCAGCTCATGGAAGTCCATAAGATGTGCAACAGAGAAGGAAGAGGCAGGAATTCAACTTCGAAAATAAGGTTTGGAAACATAAGAAAGGGGTTGGAGGTGGGCTTGTTCAAAGTAGACTTTTACCGATGAATGGGATAGCCCAGCGCCTTTCGGAACTTTATGTGCTGTGGAAGAGAGCAGAAGGAAGAAGGAAGCAGCTCATGGAAGTCCATAAGAGTGCAACAGAGATGGAAGAGGCAGGAATCAACTTCGAAAAGAAGGTTTGGAAACATAAGAAAGGGGTGGAGGTGAGCTTGTTCAAAGTAGACTTTACCGATGATGGGACACTGAAGATTCCAATCTTAAGAGTTGAAGATAACACAGAGCGTTTCTTGCTTAATTTCTTGGCCT